ATTGCTATATTTAGTGGGGCAGCTAATGTCATTGATGTGGGTAGGTTCATTGGAGATGTGATAGTGATTGGGTGTGCTATAGTCACTGGGGCGGTGACTGGGGTGGGGAGGTTGACTAGGTGGTGAGTGTTAGTGGAGAGGCCACGGATAGTGGACCGGTTATAGTTACAGGGTGCCCCATATTCATCGGGCTGGTTATATTAACTGCACTTGAAACATTCACCGGACTTCTCACGCTCATTGCAGCGGCCCCTGTGACTGGGTGTGACCTCGTCCCAGATGACACAGACGCAGAGAAAGTGACATTGAATGGAGTGGTAAGCGTCACAGGTGGCACAGCAGACGTGGAGGTTACACGGGTTACCAGCTTTTTTCTTCCTTGCCTCGAAAGCTTCTTCCCACAATCTCAGTGTTTCTACCTGCTGCCCTGGCCAGCTGGTCACATGCTGCTGCTGAGGGAGCCAGGGTTCTAAAGAGAAATTTCATCCATTTCCCATCTCACCCTCCAGCAGGGTCATGGAGAAGCAACAGTCCCACCCAAAGGATAGGCCAGGCCATTGGGGGAAGCTGAGTCAGAGCTGAATCACCAGGAGGCCAGAGAAGCTGGGGAGGGGAGCTAGGGTCCAGGTGATGGGTATGTGTGTGTGCCCACTCCCGGCTTTTCTTATTAAATTCAGCCCTTCTTCCCGTGTGGGGGAGGGGTTGAGCAGAAGCAGGGGGACAGACTGATCTCACAATGATTAGATGGTCACAGTGGGCCCCAAGATAAAAATCCCCCACCTTTCTCCTGGGTTGATAACAGCACCAAGTTGACACTTCCTCCCTCTTTCCCAGTGAGTCATCCACCGTCTTCCTGTATTGGGCTTTCCCTCTGGCCGGACTGAGCTGACTCAGTGACTATTCCCTTGCTGGGTGCTTGTGTCCATCCCTTCTCGGGGCCAATGAAGTAAAAGTCATGACTTCAGTGCTCACTTGGGCACCTGCCTTCCCTGGTACCAGCCGCCAGCCACCGTCTCTTACCACTTCTCTCCTTTAGCTGTCACAAGGGAGAGTGGGTAGATCTGCTTGGGGAAAACCTGTCCCTAAAAATGAGCGTCCCCTTCAGACAGTGATTTACAATGGAAGTATTTTCATCTCCATTTTTTCCATTTGTTTCATTGGCACTTTCCTCCAATTCCTCACTGCGGCATGGAGGTGACCCAGAACTCTCAAATCAATTGATCAACAAGCATTTATTAAGCACCTACTACATACTAGTACGGGTCGGGGGGCAGCTAGGTGGTACAGTGGATAGAATGCTGGGTGTGCAATCAAGAAGACATGAGTTCAATCTGGCCTCAGACATTTCCTAGCTGTGTGACCCTGAGCAAGTCACTTAACCCTGTTGACCTCAGTTTCCTCATCTGTAAAATGAGCTAGTGAAGGAAATGGCAAACCACTCCAGTATCTCTGCTAAGAAAACCCCCAATGGGATCACGGAGAGTTGGACAGGACTGGACAATCATCATAAAGCAGTAGATAAGAAAATAAATGTTTATTTACTGACTGACTGCCATCCAAGGATCAGTGTAACTCAGGTGCTGGTGGTGTTCGTCCACCTCTCACTGCTGCTGCAGAAGACTTGGGAATAGTTGGGTGTGGCTCAGAGCCAGGGGGAAGAGTTATTAGAAGTCCTCCTTTTGCCTCTAGGTCTTTCCTTTGAAGAGGGCCAGGGACATCAGGAGGGTGATGTCTTTACTGGTGAGTACATTGGGTTTGACTGAGGCAGAGCTGGGCAAGGTCATGAGCCTCACTCTCTCCTTCAGTCATCAGAGTCCAGTCAGGACGACTGGCCATGGCCCAGGATGGAGTGGAAGACCTTGGCCTTTTAAAATGAAGGTCTTCCCCTGGTCTCCCTTTGTAGGAAACCATACCCATTCACCAACTAAGGGCTAGGTAAGGATTGGGACAAAGATGGCCCAATTTACCATCATAAAAGTATCAATCTGGGTGAGAGCTGGAGAGGCAAACTGAGGCTGTCCCATGGTGGCACAGGGAACAGGCTGCCCGGGAGGTCGGGGCAGATTCTACCCCATTCTCTGCACTATAGATTTAAGGCTAAAGGGACATTTACCAGAAGGCCACCTAAGCCAACTCCTTCACGTTATGGCTAAGGAAACAGATCTAGAGGAGGGCGGGGACTTGCCCAAGGTCATACACACAGTAGGTACCAAGGCGGCATTGGAACCCAGGACCTCAGTCTTCCAACCCAGGGCTTATCCATGGCACCATACTGTCTCACCAGCGCTCACCGGGCCAAGACTGGAGAACTGTTTGTCTGGCATGTTGGAGTGAGGATTGCTTCTGGGATGGGTCCCTTCTGACCCAGAGCCTCAGAGTCTGTGAATTCCATTCTCAGAGTGAGGCCAGCCAAGCCCGTCTTTCTCCTCTCAGGTTTCTTCGAAGGTTCGGCTTCTGCTTGGTGGGGCCTTGGGGCGAGGGCTAGGAGGCTGTCCCCTTGCAGCAGGTATAGAGGACGCCCAGCCCAGCGGTTGGAACTGGGCCCTCGGAGCTATAGGCCACTCCCTCCCTGGGCTGGCCCTGTTGAGGGGAAAGGGAGATGGTTCCAGAGAAGCCACGGCCCACCCACAAGATGACTACTCCCAGCATTAGGCGAAGCTGCAGGGCTGGGCCCATTGACCCTGGCTGAAGGTCAAGGGAAAGGAAACAGCGTGGCTAGAACGGTCTGCAGATGTCGGGCCCAGGCAAGGCCCCTGCCCCCAGCGCCCCTCCCCTGCAGAAGGGCCCAGCATGATTCTGTGGCACCCAGTTGGGTTCCCACAGAGCTCTTAAGGCCTCTGGTCCTCTCCCCCTTCCCCTAGCCGTGGCTGGAATCCCAAACAGTGCCCGGCAAACGGGGAGATGGGTGCCAGGGAAGGGGTGAGGACAGCAGGAAGGCAGGGCAAGCCTGTGCCAGGGCCAAGCAGGTCAAGCAGGTAGGAGGGTGGTAAGAGGATGACCATACCCAGCCCTCTCTGCCCCGTGCCTAGTCAGTCCACAAACAGGTCTGACTGAACCACTATTAACTCTGACCCACAAAGGGCTTGTGTCCTTATTTCACAGGGAGCCTTGGACACTGCTAGGTGGGAGGAAAGTTTAGAGGCTCCCAAGGCTGCGGATGAGCCCACCCTGGGCTCCTGGGTGCCTGCCACTCACCTCTCTGCCCTGGCCTTTAAAAGGGAGGTAGTGAGGGAATTCTCTAGGACAAAGGGCCATGAGGAAGTGAGAAGGGACCCGGGAGAGAAGAGGGGTGTGGGGACCCATGTGATGACTGGGGAGCAGCATTCCTGAGGCCTATTTGCTCTCTGCCAATGTACCCCCTTCTTTCAATTCCGAGATGCCTGCCCAGGTTGCTGATCCCATAGGCTTGGTCTCCTGGCAACTGGGCTCTGGGGCCCACAATTCACTTCTCAGTCCCTGCCCTTCCTCATTTTTGCACTCCAGATGACACCCTTCCCCTGTTCCCACCTGGCCCTATGGATGGGGTTGGGGAGGGTGGTATATGGAAAAGCCAACAATGAAAAGATGGGCCTGGGAAGAAACCTGAGTTCGAACCCTGGTTATGATGTAGAGGGTGTGTGGCCTTGGGCAAACTTCACAGGGGTTCACGGACCCTGGAGGCCACTTTGTTCACCCCTCTTTTTACAGTAGAAGAAACAGGCCCGGAGAGTCACCCAGAGAGTAAGCCTGGGACGCAGGATCTGAAGCCAGGTCCCGAATCCAGAGGCAGGGCTCTTTCCACAGCAGTGTGGCCTTTTCAGTTTGCTCACCTGCACAATGGGGTTAACCTTTGCACTCTCTGCCTCATTAGGTCACCAGGAAAGCCTTACGGCTGTTGTCAGACGTTAAGGTTCCATAAGTAGGAGCTGCCATGATGTCACTGCGTGGGGGAGGGGAATGGGGGGAAGGAAATGACGCCTGTCATGCCCCCCCCCCGCCCCGATCAAGCTCCGCCTGGGGCTCCACCAGGGAAGTTTGGGAGAACCAGGTGGGCCACTTTCCACCTCCACCATGGAGGGAAAGTCCCTCATGCCCAAATGCCTGCCTGGCAGCTGAACCGATGAGGAGCTTACTCCGTGTGGGGGTGGGTGGGAGATAAGGCCAGAGAGGACCTGGAGCTCTGGGGTCTTGGCTGATCTTAACCAGGGCCTGCTGGTTAATCTTCAGCCCCGAGATAGGGAGGGAGCCTGCTTCTGGCTTGACCAAACACCAGGGGCCCTGGAAGAACAGCCCAAAGGTCACAACCAGCCTTGCCAGTGTCCAGAGACCTGGGGAGAGGGGGAGGAGAGGCCAGATTGGTGCTCCCTAGCTGGCGGCCCAGTTCCTGGTTCTCATCTTACCAGTACTAAGGCGGGAGGCACCCATGGGGCATTAATGAAACCCAAACTGCGGCTCCCTTGCAGTTAGGAGTGCACCCACCCTGAGCCAAGTGCCAACAAGGATTTCCTTTCACCCATCTCATTACTAGCAGCAACGCCGCTTGCTCCTGTACAGACACGAGCCCCACTCTGGGGTCCTTGGGAAAAAAGGTGAATGGGTGCTTTGGCTGGCCAGCCCCCTGAGCTTAGGGCCAGGCCTCACGGGCTCCTCTGAGCACTTCAGGCCCCAAGCTGCTTGGCATCTCGGCAAAGCGGCCATCCCGGGGAATCCAGCCACGTGGTGCCTCCTCCCCTCCAGACGGAGAGGGGTCACGCCACCACTCCTGTACGTGAGGGGCTGTGGGGGGATGGCAGGTCCAGGGCCAGCTCTTCAAGATGGTGGGGAGCCTACCAACCCTGAGTTAGCACAGATGCCGCCTGCGGCTTAGGGCAGACTTCCCGTGGATCAGGGGTGGGTAGGGAGGGATAAAGACCAAGCGTGAGTGATGCTCCGCTTTCTCTGTCTGTGCACACGTTGCACGCTTTGTCTACTCTTCAGAGGAGAAAAGGGAGAGCCCGAGAGATGAACAAAATGGTCACATCCCCAAGCTGGATCGTAAAGAAATTTAATTTTTACAAACGTCTTGTTTTTGTCCCATGTAGAAAACACCCCCCATCTTTCTCCAAATACAGTGATTACGTCCCGACTTGGCTGGGTGTGGACCCCGTGCACCTATGGGGGGGCTGCTTCTTCCTCCAGGGCCAAAGGCGCTGCTGGGGTCTGGCCTGCCGGAGGGGAGCCCCCGGCCTCCAGCGCCGTCAGCGGCCGGGGCCTCACGCCAGCCCTCTTGGGGCCAGACTCGCTTCAGATCTTGACCACCTGGGCCGCTGCGCACGCGCTCTTCCTCCCACTGCCGTCGGCGGCCTGCCTGCTGATGTACAGGCGCCCAAAGGTGCCCCCCACTTGCCCCTTGGTGAGGCGTCCAGGGTTCATACAGACACAACCCAAGATATCCTGAAAAGAAAGAACACATGAGTTTGGAGAGGCTCTGAGGGTCTGGGGGCATGCACAAGGATGACCTGTGAGAGGACATTCCCTCTGAGCACAGATTGACTTAGGTGACTTATCCAGGGTCACAGAGGCAGTGCAGAGGCAGGTCTCGAACTCAGGGCTTCCTGACTTTGAGGCTGGCTCCCTACTCACTAAGCAGTGTGGTGGAGTAGAAAGGAGAAGGGATTAGGGAGCCCCAGATTCAAGGCCTGCTGATCGGGAAAGCAGCGACTGCAATCTCTGGTCTTCCGTGGCTCCTCAGGGGCAAAATGGAGGGGTTGTCCTGGATAGCCACCTTTGGAGACTCCACAGTAACACCAATGTTTACTAAGCACCTACGTGCCAGGCACTGTGCTAAGAGGTTCACAATGTCCTTTCATTCGATCCACACAACAACTGTGGGAAATAGCTGCTATTATTATCCCTGTTTTACAGGTGAGGAAACTGAGACAGAAGTTAAGTGACTTGCCCAGGGTCACACAGCTAGGAAGTGCCTGAGGCCGTATTTGAACTCAGGTCTTGCTGACCCCAGGCCTAGCGCTCTACCCATTGCACCATCTTGGGAGACCATCTAATGGTGGGAAAAGACCTGACCTGAGAGCGGCACCAGCACGGTGGAGCTCAATGCATCTCTAGGTCATCAGCAGGTCTCACATCCCTGCAGGCCTCTGCCCCGATGGCAGCCACAAAGCTGAGCTCTCTCCTGACCCCAACCCCAGTGACACTCTTCTGAAGGCTGGGCCAGCTTTTGGCAGCTGCTTTAATGTGGAACCTCCTGGATCTACTCTATAGGGAGCTCTAAGGGACCTCACAGGTCATGGAATCCTCCATTCCCCCATTTTACAGATGAGGAAACTGAGGCCTGGAGTGACAGGTGACTTGCCATGGTCAAACAAGTCGCAGAACTAGATTCTGACCCAGGTCCTCAGGCTCCAAATGCTTCCCATAGGTGGGCAGGGGTGACAGGAGGTGGAGACGGAGCTTTGGGGACCAGCCTGGTCTGCCCCACTGAATCCCCAAAGATGCCTCCTCTTGGCGTCCCCCCAAGAGGTCCATAAGAGCGCAGCTGGGGGGGGGGAGGCGGCCGGCCCCCTGTTGTGTCCCTGCCCATACGCCCATGCAGCCCGGTTCTTGGGAACCAATGCAGTGCCACTGCCAGTGAAGCCCCAGAAACCGCCCTGACATCGCTGCCCTTGGGTCCTGTCAGGCACGACTTCAAACAGACCTTCACAAAGTATCTCAGGTCAGAGGGAACGATGAAGATGTCCGGCGTGACTGGAAGCTGGGCGTGAGAATAGAAATGTTCGTAGTCAACGCTCATCTCCTCGAAGGGAGGGTACAGGGGGTAGTAGCTGCAGAGACAAAGACGAGGGTACGTCAACCTTGGCGGGCCGAGGCCCACAGAGGGACATCAGTCCAAACTCCTCAGGCTACGGCTGGGGAAACTGAGGCACTGAGCGCAGCTCCGCCCTCCCGGCTGGGTGGGAGCTGGATCAGAATCCAGATTAAATGTAACTGGGAGACACTGGACAATACCATGTGACGTCCTGCTCCAGACCAGACCTAGCACTCTCCTCTCCCCCAGCGCTCAGCAGAGCCAACATCTCTCGCTTTTGCCTGCCCGCGTCCACTGAGCCGGGCCTTTGTGGCCGCCGTCACTTCCGGTGGTCTGACCACAGCTCTCAAATCTAGGCACACAATCCCCCCCACAGGCCTCTGCTCCTTCCAGCCAGTGTCTGGTCTCAGTAAAGTCGGCAGTGACCAGCCTCACCTCCTCTGGGTCAGGACGTGCTTGAGGATGCGGCTGAATCTGTCTGAGGCGCTGGATGAGCTGGGGAAGGAAGGGCCAGAGAGACACCCATCAGTCTGGGCACCTGGCGCAGGGCACGTGAGGGCGTGCTGCCCACCATGGTTGGTGCCCAAACCCGGGGGCCGCCTGAGTCAAGTGAGGCAGGGCAGGGCGTCCCTCACGAGCGTGGGGAAAGAACCCGGGCTTGTCTTCAGGACCAGCAAGGGAGGTCGAGGAGATCCCCTGAAACGGTCTCCAGGCTGAGGAGCCCACGCCCGGTTCAAACATTCCTTCCCCTCAGTGATGTGCTGGGAGGCCTGAGCTGGCAAGTTCAAGCTCAAATACTTGGCTGGCTGTGCTCCTCCCCTCCCAGAAAGAGGAAACCGCCCCAGCCACGGAGCCTTCACTGCCCCTCTCCCATTTACAACACCAGGAGAGGCCTGGAACCTGCGTGGACACAAATCAAGCCACTGTCACCCCCCTCGACCTGTCTAGGTTCCAACTCTGGATGCTGGAGAGGGTGGGGGGGAAGAGTCAGAAAACTATCTGATTGGCAAGCCCTCCCCCCAACGAAGCGAGGAGGCAAAAGGGAGAGGACGTCTCGGGGTCTGAACGCCAGGGACACAGGCAGTCGTGTTGGCCAAGGGAAATAAACAAGCCAACGCACACGCCCACGCCACCTGGACAACGTCAAGTGCCGATGGCCACCTGCCAGAGGGCCTCGGTGGGGAATGTGGCCGTGAAGAAAGCCCGCCCTCCAACGTGACCGTGTGCACATCAGGCAACATCCTTCGGTGATGAGGGCCAGAATCCACCTCCTTGAGTGCTGGGCCGGGAGCCCACCAATTGTCTCTCACCTACTGATTTCCTCCGCTCCCATGTGAAGCAGCAGGTCCGTGGAGGTCAAGCCCAGAATCACTCCATTTATGGAGAGGGTGCAGGGGTCAGACACGAAGTGGACTCGCTGAGGGGGGGAGAATGGGCGTAAAGACTACTGTCCGTGAACATCAAAGCGATAGCGGCCCCATCCCCAGGAAAGGCCGGACTCTTTAGGGCCCTCCTACTGGGCTGGGTGTGTCACCAAGGAAGGGAGGCCAAGATCATTTACAGGAAACCCAGAAATGTACTCGTGTGCTAAAAGTGAAACACACACACCCCAAACCTGTCTGCCCAGAAAACACCAGGGACGCTACCAAGAAACCTAAGAGATAAGCCATAAGCAGACATCCTCTGCGTCACATGACCTTAGGGGCAGAGCTGGCCACTGGAGAACTGCAGAGTTCTAGGGGCCCTGGAGCCCGAGAACTCTCCTCTCCTCCCCGGGCATGGAAGTCACAGGCTCCACTGTCTCTCCATGTGGCCCATCTCACTTCTGACACCTCTGCGCTGTCAACTCTGCGTTTCGCGCCCCTGCTCCCGCTGCGCTTTCTGAGGCCCTCCACCGACCTGAAGACAGTCATCTTGCCTCCCTCAAGTTTTTGGTAACTGCCCCTCCATCGGAGGCCTGCACTCATGGCCCTGCGCTCCAGAGGGAGGCTGACCGGGGCAGACCACAGCTCACCCTTCACTACTGGAAGCTAGGCTGGCCTCTCTAATGTAGCCCAAGATCTTTCTTACCACGTTCCTGATGCACACCAACCTCCAGGCCCTTCTAGCTGCTGCCGAGCCCTGCCTTCCCATCCTAGACCCTGTCGGTTTTCTAAGCCCAAACGCAAGACCTTAACACGCATCCCTAGTTCAGATTTCTTCTGAGATTCAGCCCAATGAGATAAGCTTCAACTCAGCCTTGTGGGGGATAACCAGTACCTTTTTGTCCTCTTGGGGGAGCTCTGAGAGGCTGAAGGGTGGCTGGGGGTACACTGGGTGATGGTGCGCATCTCGCAGGGATGGGACGAACACGAGGTGGGTGCCCGAACTACACAGCAGAGAACAGAGAGGAAAGGTGAGCTAGGACGGGAGGCTGCTGAACCCATGGGGGAGGTGCCGCCCCAGCTTCCCTGCGGAGCTTTTTAGGGGGGGCCTGGGGAAGGAATCGTGACTGGGAATCCCTGGGCTGACTGGGTGCTGGAGGAGGCAGACGTTTGCTCTGCCAGACCGGGGAGGTAAAAGGCCACGTGTGCATGTGCATGTGCACGTGAGCATTAACAGTGACAAGCCAGCTATGATCGGAGTGTGAGCGGCTTTCTGCCCTTTGGAATGGTAATGTTCACACTCGCTGGAGTTCAGGAAGTCTGCAATGATGACATGTGGAACGGGGAATCTGGAAATCCTCCTGCTGGATCTCTCGGGGCAGATGTGAGCCTCATCACAGTGGTGGCTTCTTCTCGAGGACCGAGGCAGGCCAGGGTCTCGTCTGCGGGTTGCGTCAGCGGATTCCCCCCAGCACCGGACTGCTTGTGCTCCGCTCTCCTCTGAACCCTGACTCTGGCTCTCACTATCTGTCCAGCCCCAGGCAATTGCCCAAACCCTCTGGCCTCGAGGCCACATGTGGCCCTCTAGGTCCTCAAGCGTGGCCCTTTGACCGAATCCAAACTTCACAGAACACATTCCCTTCATAAAAAGCTTTGTTCTGTAAAACTTGGACTCCATCAGAAGGCCGCACCCAAAGACCGAGAAGGCCACATGTGTCCTCGAGGCCACAAGTTTCCTACCACTGCTCTAGGGTACGTAATTCTGAGGAAATCAGACATTTTGAAAGTTTTGAGAGTGAAGCCCTGGCTACAGCAGAATCCCCGTGTGACTGGCAGCCCAGCAGAACTGATACCTGGGGGGCTCAGGTTTCAATTACTTTTCTCCTCAGCTCTCCCTGTCCCCATCCTGAAATGTGAAGCTGACAAAGGGCCGGGTACAGCTGCTTGCTGTGTGAGCTGTGAGGAGGGGGGCCCCAGTCCACGAGGTGGCCCAGCTGCCAACAGAGCCCCGAGTGCTTGTGCTTGGCTTCCCTGGAGGCCTTCAGAGATCTATTGTTAAGAGGAAACACAGCCTGGCTGCTTGTGGTTATGAACCAGCTGCAGGGGGAGGGACCAGGAAGAAAATTCCAGCTATGTTACAGGATTGCACAATTTCATTCATCGTGGTGGGAGGGTTCCCACAGCCTCTCTTGTCAAGTCCCCAGCATGGGAACGAGGGTACTCAATCCTTGGTCGGGGCCCACAAGGGCAGGATGCCCCCTGGGCCCCAGGCCTCACTGACAGTTTGACAATACTCTCAAGGGAAAGGTGGGGGACAGACATCCTACCAATGAAGAAAGTCCCCATAATTTGGGAGGTGCTCCCCCCTGCCCCACCGGCAGCAGATGAAAGTGTCTGGTGGTGCCGAGTACGGCCGTTCGGGAACAATACTGGGTCTGTTCTTTTGTTCCGTTGCTCTCGGTACCACATGATGGTGGAAGGCCAAAACCAGAACCGGCCCCTCCCAAGCGGGGGATCTCACCACACTCCAGGCCCTGCCTGACCCTTGGGAAGGCAGGACAACCACCTGCCACCGCAGCAGAGGTCTTGGGCCTGTGCCAGAACCAGCGAATGATCTCACCCTCACTCCTGCCCGGGAGCCCGGGGCAGGACCACTACTGAAAGGGAGAACTGAGCTCTGAGGCCTGCCCAGGAGCCGGAGGTCAGGCCCAGGCTCCACCTCCCCACTTAGGAAGCACTGTTACCAATCACACCCCGCGATCAGTTCTCACGGCTCAGAGGGCAAAGGCTGCACCTCTGGTTTTAAAATAACCTTTGCGATACAGACTTGTTTTTCCAAAGCTTAGTTTCAGGATTATCTGACATCTCTGCTCTGAGACATATGTGAGTGAACCCCTAGAGAGAGGCCCATCCCTACACCATCGACCCCTCTACACCAGGGCCCCGGAGGAAGGCCCTCGGAGGCGAGGAAGTCTGCTTCCTGAATGACTTTCCACTCCCCCAAATTAGAACTGCACCCTCTCTTCTGTATCTGACACTGGCCTTCTGCTGGTTTACGGGACGAGCCTAAAAACTCCACCCTAACTTGTTACTGTTCGGGGCTTCCAGGGGCCAGCCCCCACTTACCACAGCCAGAATGAGAGCAGGGGGAGGGTCCAGGCAGGCCCTGGAGAATGTGGGAGGGCGGGCCGGCTCTGACCGAGGCCCTGGGCCAGCTTTCTGGGCCAGGAAGTGCCCTCCAACATCGCTCCCCAAGTCACCCCAGAAAGATTCCCATGGCAGGAGGGCGGGGGAGGGGTGCCTTCTTGCTTTGTGGCTGGCTCATCACTGTGCAAGAAGTGTCTCCCCGAGCCCCAGATGCTTGGGATGCTGCTGACCGCAGAGAGTCAGAAGGCACCAGCCCCCATGCCCAAACCGCTGGAGAGAAATGGGGAAAACCTGGGGAACTGGAAGTTTCTACCCATGTGTCGATGCCTGGTGCACTCCATCCTAACCTTCTGGTCCCTTCGATAATTGTCCTCACACAGTGTCTGAATACGCCTTCAAACGTGGAGGTCAGCTGACAGTTCTGGAAGAAAGGAAAGGGAAGGGACGGTCTGCAGGGGGTGGGATGCCACCGTCTGAAAAACCAAGGAGCTTCCCGGGGCAGAGGGCCCCGTGAAGGGCACTTTGAAGTGCTTTCGGCCAATGTCGAGGAGCCCAAGGGGACAGGGCTGTGCCCCACAGGACCCCACTGCCCACAGCGGGGAGAAGGTGTTTGTGGGCACCCAGATTCAGGCCCCACAGACTTCACAAAGCTCCAAGCTCTGTCTGCTTCCAGGCCTCATGGGACATAAGACTGGCTGCCTCAGAAGGGCCTTGCTATAGTGCCCTGCAGGGTCCTAGGGTTCCCATTGGGCCGAGTATATTCTCAAGAAGTTTTGAGGGGCAGCTAGGTGGCGCAATGGATAAAGCTCTGGCCTTGGAGTCAGAAGGATCTGAGTTCAAATCTGACCGCAAACACTTGACACTTACTAGCTGTGTGACCCTGGGCAAGTCATTTATCCCCAACTGCCTCATCAAAAAGCAAAAAAAAAAACCCAAACCAAACAACAACAACAACAACAAAAAGCTTTGGAGGCGGCCTTCTGCTAGCCTGGTGAGGAGGGCCGAGTGTTTGCCCAGCTGGAATTCTTACCTCCACCTGCTCATGCTTAGCATCGAGGAAAGGTCCCAACTGCACAGAGAGAAAGAGAAACAGGGCAGATTTACACAAGGTCCAGCCAAACAGCGGGAAACAAAGGACGGCCCCCCAGGGCACCGGGGTCCTACCACCTTCTGTGACACAGACCCCCTGGACAGGCAGGCTTCTGAAGCAGATGGAGTGCTCCTCAGAAGGAAACCAAGCTCATGGACTGCAGGCTAAGGGTCCCCGGCAGGCTGCTCCACAAATGGAGGCGCCATCTAAGCCCTTCCACAGTTTGGCCAGGGTGGAGGGCTGCTGCCTGGCCCACGAGACCCTACTTCTCCTGCCTTTCCAAAGGCTGGCAAGAAGAGGGGCCGCCCTGCTTGTGGGCACGGTCAAAGGAGGACGGCTGTCAGACACACGCCTTCGTTCACTCCTGCATGACGCTCACGAGGGAGGAAAAAAATGAATTCTCTGCTGCACAGGTTGGCCTAAGGCGGCAGAGACACAGAGACACGGGAAACGGAACCGGTGAGAAGCACCTACGGACGCTCTCTGCGAGAGCTGGGCCAGGCCTCTCTGCGTATGCAGACATCTACAGAAAACAAAGACCAGAGAGGATTTCCAGCTTTCCTCAGGGTGGCCAGGTGGGCCATCACATGTCCAGCTCTCAGGCCACCGCTTCATGGAGCCGGCCAGCAGCCGCGGGCCGCTTACCAGAATGCAGACGTCCGGCTGGTCTCTGCCGATGACGCTGATCAGATCCATCATGGGGTCGTAAGTGACGCTGTCCGACGTGGTGTAAGGCCCACAGGCCACCAGGAGCATCCGCTGGTCCGAATCTGGCAAGGAGGACAGTGTGAGTCAAGAGGTTTTGTCGACGTGGGGTGATGCTGGGATTGTGTTCAAGGAAAGCAGGAATGACACAACTCGGCTGGAGGCCTCCCCCGAGGCTCCCACTCCTCTCGGGCCCTGCACTGCCCTGGCCCCTGACTCTGACCCCCGCTGGGGATCATTCCCCTGCACAGCTCGCCAAATGCGAGCATGATGTGCTAGGAAGGCAACGGCCCTCCCCAAGGGGCCCAGTTTGCCTGCAAAGAGAAAAAGCCAGTGAGGCTTCGAAACAAAGTTCTGCACGGGCAACAGACAAACATCATTTCCTCTCGGGCTTCTCGTCTGGACTTTGATGCTTCCAGGACGTGTGATGTCACTCCCCAATGCAGATTGCAGCTCTTCTGTGGACCGGTAGAGCACACTGCGGGCTCTGTGGCTGGGCCGGGGACGTGCCTCCCTGGCCTAGCTGGGCTGGGCCCACAATGGGTGAAGGGCCGGAGAACACCCTCACGCAAACCCTGGCTCTGCCTTCCTTAGAGCTTCTTTGGCCGTGGTGGGCAAAGGTCCTCCAGAATACATCAGGGTTGGGCCAGGCCCATGCCCCTCCTGTTGCCCCAGCAGCCTCCGCCAAACCCCCAGCCCCCTCCCCCGTGGTTGTCACCACTACCCTCAAACACCCCAGGGAGTCTGCTCCAGGACAGAGAAGCCACACTCCTGGACACCCCGCCTACACAACATGACGGCCTGGCCTGTAGAAATCGAGCATGGCTTTCTCCAAAAGGAATTCTATTTTAAAAACCTAAACTCACCTCCATCCTCTTCTGTGGGCTGGTAGAAAGGAAGAGGCACTCCCTTAAAAACAAGAAAAAAATAGAAATTACGGATCTGTTTCCTGCCTTTGGCCCGAGGAGCGTTGGGCTGGCATCCCGCCCCACCCCGAACGGCCCAAGAGGCGGCTGGCTTCCGCCAGAGAAGGTAGCAAAGAAAGGAAGCAGGGCCTGCAGCTGTCCCTTGGGAAGCTTTGAAAGCACGTAGCATGTGCTGCCTATGACACCACGTGGGGGTGCCGATGCCTGGGAGCCCCCCTGCCACCGCAGGCCTGGGTGTCGGCCCGGAAGGCCACCAAAGCCAAAGGTTGCAGGTTACGGCCTCCTTTGCCTGACAAGCGAGTGAAAAGGGGCATTGTGGGCTCCGAGGTCACATCTGTGGTCAGCGGTTGTGGCGTGACCCCCAGGAGGAGACGCCTGGGGTGCAGCCAGCTCCTTACCTCGTAGAGTTTGGTGGCGATGAATTTCTTTCCTGTGCTGTTGGTCCCTTCCATAATGACAACCTGAAACCCAAGGAACGGAACCACGGTGACCGAAAGAGGCCGGGACTGGCCAATGGTGCGGCACAGGCTTCCTCCCAACAAGTCTGACCGTGTTATTGGGACCCTGCACCCTCCAGAGCAGACCTGGGGCCCACCTGCATTCCCAGGGGAAGCCAAGGAGCCCCTGGACCAGGGGACACTGGTGCTGTCTGGGCCTCATGCTTGGGGAGCACCTAGTGGGGCCCTGCTCCACCCCACTAGGGCCTAAGATCCAAGAGACGGATCTGAGCCCTGTGTCCCCCCACGGGCGATGCTGGAAAGCTCACCTGCCCGGGAAACAGAGAATATTCCTGGAGCTCCGAGAGATCCACTGGGATCTGCACCCCCAGGGAATGCTCCCGATCTCCTTCCAGAATCACTGATTTCGGGTTCAACTTCCCGTTGCTATCACAACCAATCTGGCCCAGCAAAGTGATCGGTTCCTGGGGAAGGAAAGTGGGAAAATGGCAGCTGGAGACGGGAAAGCCCAGCCCGCCTCTGCTCCTGGCGACAACTGGACCCAAGTGAACGTGGCGGCTCAAAAATGCCAACTGTCAGAGGTCAGGCTAGATGGCCAAGAGACCCGGGGGGAAAGAGTCCTGTTAACGTGCGTGACATGTGTTAGGTGAGTGATGGGAGTGACCTTCTTTAGGAGCTGGGCCGCGGCTGGAACTGCCACCTGCTCCTTGCCCCTAGCGCCCACTGGAGGCCCTGGTACTTGGTCAGGGCTCCAAAGCTCTGGGGACTGGGCCCGTTCATCACAGCCTCCCTTGGCAGAACGTGGCGCTCACCCGTCCGGTCCTGGATGAGAATCCACCCCCAATAGGAAGCCAACGACAGTGCCTGGCTGCTCAGCACTGCCTCTCGCTCACCTGCGCTGGCACAGAAACGGGATTGAAGGCCTCAATCTGGTGAAGCTCCTTCAGTTCACAGCCGAGCTCTTCAATCCTGCAGGTCAGAACTGAAGCCGAGAAGAACAAAGGTCTGAGGGTCCAGAGGAGGAAAAGCCCCGCGGCCCGCCCAGGTGTGAAGCAGCCAGCTGGGTGCTGTCCACGTGGGTGGTGGTTCTGGGGAGCACAGTGCTGCCCCGAGCAGGCCTTTCCGATGGGCAGCCCCAAGCCCCGGGACCCGTGACCCATCCGGAACCTCTCCATCTGCCCCTGCCCCCATCCCGTCAAGGGAAGGGGCTGAAAAAGGAGGAAACCCACACTTTTAGCTCGACGCCTGCCCTCCCAGTAAATAAACTGGGCTTCTCTCCAGCCTCCACCCTTGTTACTGGAGAGACTGGCCCCATCTTCTCCCGGAGCCTCAGCCTCCCAACAAAGCAACCGCCTTTCCCGACGTGGGAATGTGATGTGCACAGACATCAGGCAGCGGTGGCGACTGCAGCCACAGTGACATCTTCCCCCAGAACCGCTGGGTGAAGGGAGGAGTCCTAATAGCATCTTCCATGTTCCCTTAAGGAAACTGAGGGTGAGGGACTTGCTCCAGGGCAGCAGCCGTGGGCCCAGGTCCTTCTGACCTATCCAAAACGGTGGACATGACTGGCTCGGGTGTTGGCTGTGGTCTCGAGGCCCTGGACACGCAGGCCACCACTGCCACGGGGGACAGCGCTCGACCCCAGACGGCCAAAGGTCTGGTGGCTACTCTAAGTCCTACCAGACGCTTCCACGTCCACAGGTATCACGGGGGGTGTGCGTGGGGGTGGGGATCACCTTCTCGGACGTCGGTGAGCTTCTGGAACATGGATTTGTAGCTCCCAGTGAGGGCTTTGGCAGCGTCCAAGACTTTCACACGGAGGCTGCCACCGCCTCCTTTCCCAGACCACGACATTCCCTGTGCGGAGCCAAAGGTGGTCACGACCTCTCCTCGGCTGCTTCTGGAGCTGTACTTCTGAGAGGGCGTGGCACTGGGGGAACAAAATAGGGGCTCCATGGTGCGCCACGTCTGGGAGGCAAACACGGAGCAGAGGCACCACCACTGCCAGGCTGCATTGGTGCCACGTTTGCAGTGCCAGCCACACCCCCAGGGTATGAGTACTGAGACAGAGGGGACTACGCACTGTCCAAAAAGGGACAGTAAGTCCCTACCGAAATGGCCGGAGGGGTCTGGCTACGTGAGCCTATTTTAGGGTTGTACCGTTCCCTAACATTTCAGTGAAAACCAAAGCTGGCCCTGGGACTCCGGGCCATCCACTGGGAGGCCATCCCCGGGGGAGCGGCGCTGAAGGAGGTCTGCACTGCCCACCAACACCACGCCCAGCACTGCTCTGGACTGGCTCCTTGCCTCTCTCCATCTCATCCCAGCCTAGACACTGAGGGCCGGGTAGCCCCCCGTCCCACCCCAGGACAGCCAGAGTGGAGCTGCCCTGCCCCAGAGCCGAGATGACAAAAGCCTGAGGATGAGGGAGGGAGCAGGAGGGAGCCCTGGGGACCCCAGCCCCTCCTCCCACCGGGTCACTCAATCACAAAGAAGATAAAGCAGACGCGAGGGCCCCTTCTGCTGGGACAGTGCAGGAGCTGGGGAGGTCAGAGAGAATGTGTCACCCGAAGCCCCTGCCCCTTCCTAGCTGAGTGACTGTGGGCAAATCATGTCTCTCTGGGCCTCAGTTTCCTCCTCCAAAAAACGAATCCCAGAGTTGGAAGGAACATGAATCCAACTCCTGCTTCAGGGGTGGGGAACCAGCGGCTTCAAGGCCACGTGTGGCCCTCTAGGTCCTCGGGTGTGGCCCTGTGACCCAGTCCAAGTTTTACAGAACAAATCCTTTTATGAAGGGGACTTGTTTTGTGAAGTTTGGATTCAGTCAGTGGACCACACTTGAGGACCTAGAGGGCCTCCCCCACCCCCGCCCTACTCAAACCAGAATCCCCCTGACCACGGGCCTGACAAGTGGGCATCCAGCTTGGCTTCCAGTTGGGGTTCTTCTAAGAACTTCCTCATGGGAAGAGCCCATCTGCTGCCCTCATTTCTCCCTCCTGGTGTCTGTAAAAACGAGCTGGATTCCTCTGAAACCATCCCTCCTGAGGCCAGCTGCTCATTGGCTGCCGTCCCCAGGCCCTTTAGCTGACCCTTGGGCATGACCTGGAGGCTCTTCTCCTCCACATACTGTCCAGCGGTCAGGTCAACGTCCTTCCTGCAATCAGGGCAGAGCGCGTGAGAGCCCGGCACCCACTGGCACTGTCCTGCTCCCAGGCACACGGCCCACCTCAGCTGATACTTGGTTTTTACACTCACTCCACAGCCACACTACGTATGGGACAAAGAATTGGAAAGAGGCACCAATCAGCACCAAGTCTGAGCACACCCAGGTTCCCTTTCCAGAGCCAAGCCTGGGCACTATAAGGACAATGCTCACTTAAAGAAAAGCCAAACCAAAGAATTCTTTGAACTGTTTAAAACTCACGCGTCCAATCCCACTTTATTCTTAGCCCCCAGAATGGGATTGGGGACTGTGCTGAAAAGCTACAAGTTTCTGAGCCTGTACATGCATGTATAATGGAGAAGAGAATACGTGAAATACAAATGTCCCCCCTTGTCCTGGGCTGCTGGAGGAGCACTGAATTCTTCCTGGCTAAGAGGTAATCAGGCAGCCAGGTGGCTCCGTGGTTAGAGTGCCGGGCCTGGAATCGGGACGACCTGAGTGCAAACCTGGACTCAGACATTTTCTAGCTGTGTAGCCCTGGACAAGTCATTTCAGCCTGTTTGCCTCAGTTTCCTCATCTGTAAAACAAGCCGGAAAAGGAAATGTCCAACCACTCCCGGATCTGCCAAGAAATCCCCACGGACAGTACTGGCACGTGCTAGTCCACGGGCTCAGGAGAAGTCGCGTGTGACCACGACAAGGCAGTCTCTTACTGAAAGGCAGACCGACAAATCACCACCGAGACCACGTTGGCTGCCACGTTGCTTCTCGGTGCCATTACTGGTTACCACCACAGCAAGGATGTCTGACCGTCCTCGGGTTGTGTCTCCGTGCGATTATAATCGCACGCATCACCAATGGCTCCTATGGCCACGGCCTCCAGGAGCAAATACAAAACGCCCACGTCGGCCTTTGCCATCCTCCCTTTCCAGTCTTCTCACACCTGACTCCCCCCACGTCCCCTTCCATCCAGTGCCCCCAGCCTCCTGGTGTTCCACAAACACGACCCTCCCGCCCCGGGCATTTTCTCTGGCCACCCCCCAGGCCTGGCCTCCTTCCTCTGCTCAGACTACAGGCCCCCCGGGCTTCCTTTAAAGCCCCACCTTCTGCAGGAAGCCTTCCCTACGCCCTCTTAATTCCAGGGCCTTCCCTCTGCTAATTATTTCTGACTGATGCTGTAGACATCTGTTTGCATGCTGTCCCCCATTAGACTGTAAGCTCCCTGAGGGCAGCGACCGTCTTTTTGACTTTCTTTGCATCCTTGGTGCTTAGCACAGTGCCAGACACAGGGCACGTACCGATTCATTGTCCTGCGAATCTGAGGTGAGTCAGAAAGGGAGGCTGCCTCATGGCTGCTCCACGGATGCCCATAAACTGGCCCACGAGCCAAGATCAAACGGACCTGGCTCTCGTGTGTGCCTCGATCTGGATGTGAGAGAGAGCCGGGAGAGGCCCCAGAGGCGGGCGAAGGGGCCTGTCGGGGGCCACACCGGCAGCGGGCGGCTGCGCCAGGGTCTGAAGCCTGGTCTTCAGGAGTGCCAGGATGCTCTCCTGTGCTGGGTGACCCCCAGTGATGGCCAGGTTAGAGCTCCTCGCTTTGGAATCACAAACCCAGGCTATAGAAAGCAGGGGATCATGATTTCTTTCTGCTCCTAAGTAACTTAGAAACGTGGCCAGCTTCAGAAAAGGCCGAGGCAGCTTCTCCGAAGCTTCTCGTCCTGCCCCTCCCTTCCTGGGAAGCACTGAAGACAGGCCCCTGACAGACAACAAAGGCTCAAAGGCTTACATGGTTAAAGACCATCCCTCCTGGAGAGGGGCTGGCACCCACGTCCCCCCTCCCCCCATGAGAGCGGCCGTCTACACATGGCGTTTCAAGGATGCCCTAGAGTTCTAAGTGCTTACTTACAAGGGCGGGTGAGGGTTCCCAAAACAGCCCCCTCCCCCAGACTACTGAGTCTTCCAAATTTAGTAACATCACCCCGGAGGCCCGGGAGGGTCTGGATCTCGTTCCACTCTGCACTCAAAGTTTTACTTTCTGGAGGGGTATTAAAGGAACCAAGGTAAACTGTTGGCACCCAGCCCAAAGAGGGCGAATGCAGGAAGAAAGGCCTGAACAAGCCAAGGGTTTGTAGCACTTCGGGGACGGTATGGAACGGAAACAAAGCGGATGCCCATCGGGCATGGGCTGCCCATCGCAGGGGAAGATGACAAACCATGGTGTACAAAAGTCCCAGAGTACCACTGTGCCATAGGAAATAGGACCAAGAAGGCCTCAAGAAGCCGGGATGACATCTGTGAATACACGTGAACAGAGCCGGCAGGACCAAAAGAATAACACTGACCCAAGTCTTCAGCAACGGGAGCAGAAATGGCAAGAACGAGAAGGAGCTGGACGCTGCTGGGGTCTAGTCACCAAGCCAACGGCTGGGGAGGAGAGCAGAAGGCGCAGCTCCCTCCAGCCGGGCTGGGCCCCCTCAGCGGATGGTCAGCTTTGCTGCCCTGCTTTTCTTTTTTCTCTTTTGGTTAGGCAATGGGGTTGAGTGACTTGCCCAGGGTCACACAGCTAGTGAGTGTTATGTGTCTGAGGCTGGATTTGAACTCAGGTCCTCCTGACTCCAGGGCTGGTGCTGTATCCACTGCGCCACCTAGCTGCTCCCTGCCCT